CCTCTTAGAAACCTTCAGGGCATTGGGTTTTTTCATCTGTAAAAGACCCGTTGTGTGATTTGTTATGCGCGTTCTCCCAAAAGTATGATGGGGCATCAGGAAGGATCACAACTGGGAAAAGTTTGTGAAACGAAATTTTAACTCACTAATCCAAGGAAGTGGACCTGTCATTGTCTAAGCTAGGAGACACGATCCAGCCGAAGCCAAATCCTGTTCACGGGTTTCTCAGGGAATTTTTTTGCAAGACAACCCGATTCGTGTTTACTCAGAAGTCACCTGCACCGAATTTCTCATTAGAACAAGTTCTGTGGGGGTTATTTTCTAAGTAAGTGTGCAGACAGTTAGCTGAGTATAGGTTCCATGGAACTCATCGCGGTTTACCTTTAAGAAGACATTATAGGATCACACTGTTAAGCATAAGTTTAACGTCCCCCTCCTCAGGTGCTTAATCATCATCTCCCTTGGTTTACTTCAGAGTAGCTGGTTATTTTTCCTCGCACCAATATTCGGGGTGGAGTTAGTAGTAGAGGATTTTAGAACTAAATACAGTTTAGACATGTTTACTCTGAAGAAAGTCCTACGGACTTGAAGGGGTATAAGTTCTAATTTCTAACCGCTTACATATATTTAATATTGCAATCATACTCTTTTAAATACCCAATCCTATATACTGTACTGTATATTTTTCATGGATTAAAGGTCCAATCCTACCCATGGTTACTCAGGAACAGGGGTGCCTGTGTTTATAGATTTTACCTCCAGTAAGTGTGTCTAAAACTGCACGCTATGCCCCTCTGAGTTTACTGGAGTTTAACTCAAACTATGGTTGCGATCCGACGCACGCTTGCCTGCAAGTAAGTCCCAATGCAGAGACAACAAGAGTAAACACAGACAGATTTGGGCACAACGTGCTTAGAACACTTTCTGCTGTATATGGGTTTTTTTTTTTTTTAAAGTACCTGGGAAGTTATAAAACCAGGAAAGCCCTTGCAGAATGTTAAAGGGATGGGATGGAAGACTGGGTGAACCTTAATCCCTCAACCTAATAATTATAATCATATAACTCTGGAGTAATTAAGTTCTACAACGGAGAAAGCTACTGTGTGGGTGGCATTTGAGCTTTTTTTGCTCTCAAAATGTGAGCAGGGGAGAGGTTAGAATTTGGAAAGACTTTGATCCACAAGGTAACAAGATAAGAACAAATCTGAAGCTTTGCTGACCCGGCATCCTACTTAACGACGTGAACCTCATTTTATTAAGAGACAGCCGCAAGAATGTCCTGGGGCCGTCTTCTCCTTCCTTTTAATCACAGATTTCTTTCCCACTCCCTCCCGCTCCGCCCCGGTCGCAGTTCGACTTCTCTCCCTGAACAATAGGTCTATTTTCCCCCCTGGAAGCAGCTTTTGTTTTCTCACGTCAAAGCTGGTGTTTTCAGAGAAAACACCGCGGGGACTCAGTATCGAGGCAGCGTTATCTGACAGCTACAACTGAACCTGGGCGAGTGGAGGGATTCCTCCTGTCTTTTCCCACCCACACCCCCGAAAGGTTTATTTTTTTAAAAAAATTGTAAAGCAACTTCTACCCAAGATTTCACTTTCAGCACGGACCAGAGCAGACCATGTAATTTAGTTAAATTCTCCTACATGAAATGTGGGTAGAAGGGAGCCCCGGTGTAGATAATAAATATGAAGCAGCTGGAGACAATCGCTATGGGGATGGACATTAGGATGATGGGACCCTCCAAGAACGAGAGCTTTTTGAGTGTCTTGGCTGGCATTTGCTTCCAACTTGGTGTTGTGCTTAGGATCGCAGCCAGAGCCACTCAAATACGCAGGTGCTTTTCCGTCAAAGATCTCGATTTCAAAATCCTCACCATCCACCCACGCCCAAGTAATATTTTCAGTCCATAATATATTTTTTTTTTACCATCCTCTCAAGAGGATTTAAAACAAGCGTTTTAAATACTGCGATGAACTCACAGGCGACGGCCGGGCCACCTAACTCTAGTTCCTCAGGATACTCTATGGATCCCAGGGACTCCTAATTCCAAGTAAAGTGAGTAGGAGACCTGGAAGCACATCGCACTTCCACATTCGGGATTAATCCACGGAAGCGCTTTTTATCTCTTGATTCAATACCCACGACTTCTAAAGGGGATCGGAAACCCTGGCCTATTTTCAGATCATGTTTGGGGGGGGGGAGCCATGCTTGGACTGGCCCACTCGCAAATATTAAAAGGTGCCTTTCAGCACCTGATCTCCTTAGACACAAGATCATTGTTTTGCACAAATAAAACTGGTTACTAACATGGCAGCAGGAGGGAGCCTTAACTTGCAAGACCCGCCCTTATCTGCTAGGATAGGATCAAAGATATTTCTTTTCAAGATACGGCGATCTATTTCTAAGGTAGTTTTGTTGCCACCAGCCGGCCCCGATCCATCACAGTGGAAAGGAGTGGTTTCCTAGGGCAGAATGAATCCCTTTCCCCTCAGCTGCTTTGTGAGGACAGCTGTTTGGGACCCTTGTGGCGGATATAATTCAAGAACTGCCTATAACTCAAGAAGGGTGACCAGGAATAAGTCAAGAGTCTCATATATTAAAGTAAGACATCACATAAAATCTAAACGGGCACCTTACATTTCCAGCTTTCGCTCTCAAGCGCGTTACGACTTCAGTCCAAACGTCTGCTTGGACAGAGCCGTGGGAACCTCTGCAGGCGGCAGGCTGCGCTTCCACTTGAAAGCCCTGCGAATCGAGGACCCCCTTCGTCTGACTTGCAAATCAATGGGGCTGGCGGAGGGGTGGGCATGGGCGGGAGGAAGTGAGTCCCTTCCGTTTTGATGCAGGTAGCTTTGTTCCAGCGAGTAGGAGGCCATTCCCGAGTGGATGCCCGCGGGGGCCGCGGCGGCGGCGGGCGGCGGCGGCGGCGGCAGGGTCTGCTGCTTGAGATAAGGGGAGGCCCCCGAGGAGGTCCAGTGGCCCCCGGGACTGCCGTAGGGTGAATGGCACTCGATGGCGCTGGCCATGGCCGGCGAGGAGGGCACGGGGCTGCTGCTGCTGTCCGGCCCGTAGTCGGCGCCGTTGGAGGGCACCGGGCAGCTGGCCATGTACGTGGAGCCCGGGTTGGGCGACATGTGCGGGACGTGGTGGGCCTCGTAGGCGGCGCCGGCCTGCATGACCTCCAGCGGGTTGTAGCCGTTGGGGTGGCAGCCCAGCGGGGCGGCCGGCGGCGCCTGGAAGTCGAAGCCCTGCGGGAGGAAGCCCAGGCCGTTGACCATGCGGTGGTACATGGTGGGCTTGAGCGCCTGGCATTTCCTTCGGAAGCCCCGCGGGCGTCGTCGGAAGGAGCCTTCCTCGAACATGAACTCGCTGGCCGGGTCGATGGTCCAGTAGTGGCCTTTCCCGGGCCGGCCCAGGCCTTTGGGCAGCTTGATGAAGCACTCGTTGAGCGAGAGGTTGTGCCGCACCGAGTTCTTCCAGCCTTGGTAGGCGCCGCGGAAGAAAGGGAAGCGCGCCTGCAGGAACTGGTAGATCTCGCTCAGCGTCAGCCGCTTGGACGGCGAGCTCTGAATGGCCATCACGATCAGCGCGATGTAGGAGTAGGGCGGCTTCTCCGGGCGGCGGAGCCCCGAGCTGGCTTTCTTGGCTTTGGAGGAGGAGGGCGCGGGCGTGGACGAGGCGCCCCCGTCGCTGCCGCTGTTGCCCGCGTTGCCGCTGTTGCCGTTGGAGAGGGTGGTGGTGGACGACTCCAGGGCTGAGGAAGGCGGCGGCGGCGGCGGCGGCGGCGGTTGTTGGTTCATCAAGGCCGGGCTGCGAGGCACCAGGGCCCCGATCTTGGAGCTCATGGAGGCTGCTCCTTCTGGGCCACCTCCTTAGCGATCTGGAAGCGGCGCCCGGAGCATCCCTCCCTCCTTCCTTGCGCAAGCCTCTCTTTCTCCGTCCGTCTGTCCGTCTGTCTCGCCTTCTCTCCCTCTTTCTCTCTGGCTTTCACACAAGCACAGCGCCCCCTCCCTCCCTCCCTCCCTCCGGCTTCGTTGCTTGCTTGCTTTGTATTGCATTGTGTGTCTCTTTGCTTAGCATGAACTCCCATCCTCCGGTGGCCATCCTGAAGCCTTTAAAGAAGAGGAAATCCACCAAAGCCCACTGGCCGCTTTTGCGTAAAGGGCTGCGCAGCCAAACAGAATCCGCGGACGCCTATCAGACTTTTCAATCTCTCGCCTGCTCAGCCACGTCTTCCCTCCCTCCCTCCCTCCATCTCCCACCCCGCTCAAT